AGAGAGAGAGAGAGAGAGAGAGAGAGAGAGAGAGAGAGAGAGAGAGAGAGAGAGAGAGAGAGAGAGAGAGAAGAGCCCTTCCAAATTATTCAGACAACCCCTGCCGGTACTTCAAAAGGTCCCTGCCAAAAATTGGCAAGGGTTCCGTCGGCAGGAGAAGGGTCGTCACTGGACTTGTAGTAAGGAGGGAGCAGGGCAGCTATATATGGTGTGGCTTCGAATTCAGGTCCGTGTTTCAGCAGTTATGGGTCAGTTATCGGTTACTGACTTACTAACTCGGCATGTGATTTTTTTTCAGGGCTTCACTCCACTACTCACCAAATGTGCAAAACTAGAATGAATCTTCTACTAGAAACTGGAACCATGCAAACCACATGTTCTTCTTTTGTGATGGGTGGAGCAAGGCCCTTGGGGCCCATGCACGTAAGAAAAGGAAAAACAAAAAAAAAGAGACAGCTACTGTAGTGTTTGTAGTATTTTCGTAACCCATAACTCTTTGGAACACAGACCTGAATCCAAATCCAGGATATATTGCTGGCCTGCTCGTGGTATGTCAGCAGTTTAATGAACAATGAACATCCTTCCAAAAGTATGGGCACCCTGCTGATTTTTTGCAGGGGACCTTCTGGAAAAGAAAATGGATCCAATGAGTTGTATGAAGTGGCCCCAATATATTTTTGCTCTGTGGAGTCTGGACTTATAATTTTCAAAAGGGAGGGGCACTTTTGGTTACTATAGCCTACCCTTTTTTATATATATATATATTATATAATTATTTTGTAAATCCGCCGCATCACGCGTGCGTGCATGCGCTATGCGGCGCACGTGCGCAACTTGCGCACACGTGATGCGCAGCATCATGCGCCGCATGTATGATAAATATTAAATTGATGATATAAAAAAAATAATTAAGAAAAAAAAAACAATTCTTTCCAAGGAAACCCCTGTGAAGAAGCTCAAACTACAAGCACCATGAATGGGACCAACATCCACTCATCAACATGGCGATCAGCGGAATCGACAAACCAATGCTCTGCTCACAGTTCATGCCTGCAACAATCAATTACCAGCACCATAATAGTTCTCTGCCCTCACTGGTCTCTACACCAGCTGAATGACCAGGTACTCTTATCCTATACCGCACTGAACATCGTGCCTCAGAGCAGCATGCCGCTCCCGTGTGCCTCAGTGAAGCCCTTCCCAACGATCACCTGATAAGTACCTCGTCACTCTCCACTTCTACACAGTCTTCCTCTTCCCCCAAGGATATCCCCTTCTAGTGCCACCATCCAACCTGGCTGTCACACCAGTCTTCTTCCTCAGAGCCCGAACTGGCTATGGCACCGGTCTTTGTCCTCAGCGCCCAACCTGGCTATGGCGCCGTTCTTCTTCCTCAGCGCCCAACTTGGCTACAGGGTCGGTCTTCATCCTCAGCCATGGCTGTTGCTGGCACGACACTAGTGCCACTGTCCAAACTGGCTATGGCACCAGTCTCTTCCTCGACGCCCAAACTGGCAGCGCCCAAACTGACTATGGCGCCAATCTTCTCCCCCGGTGCCCGACCGATACAGGATATGGCCCTCCCCTGGCTAGCACCAGTCCACTCGTCCGTCTAGCAGCCTGGTGACATCCTTCTCTCACATTCCAGCTACAGTCACTCCTGGCCGTCCCTCACCGCCTAAGCTACTCCTGGTGCTGGTTTTGTCGGCTGAAGCCATGCCTCTCGCTGCGTGACTCACAACGAGTACCCACCGGCCTGTCAGGCAAAACTTCCTCCAACAATGCCCCCCTGACCTGCCTCCACCTTCTTTAAACCACAAGTGCACGGCCCCAGCCTTGGAGTCCGAAACTTGTCGGCATTGTCGTCACAAGAAAACGAGGCCGAAATGTCAAACGCTGGGCCCGCCGTTATAAATTCGATCGTCGGTCGAGTTTCGTTTCGCGCCTCCAGAATTTGAGGTGTCAGGCCCGTGGCCCAGGTGCCCATGTACTGGTGCTTTAAATACTTTCTGCTGGTCTCTTCTTCAGCCTGGAGGCACTTCCTTCCTGAGTCGTCCGGTTCCAGGCTTCTGCTACCGAATCTCAATCAGCCCTACCGGGCCCCGGTCTAGGCCTGACCGGGCCTGCACTCCCATTGGAGCGGGCTTAGTGCCTATTGGTCTCTCTGCAGTCAGCTGAGAGGTTTAAGGGGGCTCACTTTTTTTCCTATCTTTTCTAATCATCTAATGTCTCCAGATATGGTGATATCCAGGGTGAATTGCCCACATATCGAAATCCCAACATCCAGCCAGATGGACAGGCTCAGACAACCTGGTCGCCTAGGTCTCTTTTTTCTCCTTGTTTTTCCTGTTCCATTATTTTACAAATTTATAGTAAATTTACAATTTACGGCAGAGCAGTCATGCCGACGGTCGGCGCCCCTGGATTGGTCGGCTGCCAACCAGCCGACCGTTCCACAATCGGCACGGTGCAAAAGAAAAAAAAGAATTTGCGGGGTCCATAACCACCAATAACCCACCGAACACCCCCAAACACCCCCATACACCCCCCTAACACCCC